TTAATAATTGCAGTAATTTAAAAGCGCAGAAATATAAAACCTAGCTATTACAAGGCTTCAGGGAGGGGGATTATGTACATATCCAAAACTGGGGAAAAAATAAATAAAAGCGGTAAAGGTCCTACTAATCATCTATTACATCCCAATATACAGTTACAATAATAAAATGAAGTGCGAAAGAATAATAACACGCAAATTTGAAAAGACATCGAAAAATCCTAAGATATAAAAAAATCTTTTTGTTGTTTTTTTGTTTTAATTTATAAAAACGGTTTAAGTTAAAAAATAATTGATCTAGATCTATATTTAAAAAAGATAATTATTAAAGAAAATGAAATTTAAATAAAAGAAATTGATTCTATGTTTCTTTGGTATTTTTGTTACGAAAAGGAAAATGAATTAAAATGAAATTAAACCTAAGTTATATTAATTTTAATTTTTTTTTAAAAAGTTAAAGTGTTTAGTTAATTAATTTACCAAAATTAAAATTTAATTAAGAAAAAATCCTAAATCTATTTTTATGTGATTTTTATATTTGTTTATTAATAAAAAAAAAGGATTAAAATAAATAAATGAAATGAATAAAACAAGAAAATTAAGATGGGACTAGTAGCAAAAGTAAACAGGGGGTGCAATCATCAGAAATCCCTAGGCCCGAATCTTCGAAAGCTTCATGCTCTAACTTTTTTTTTTTATTCTTGCGTGGAACCTATGATTCAACCATCCATAATTGTTCTATATAAACTCAAACAAACGTTAGCATACCATAAAATGTGATTAAAATTAGAGATTCGAAGTTTAAAATTTTACCAAACCGGTATTGTCAAATGGGGGCGTGCTAGGCGTGTGATGGATTTCTCTTGGGACTTGTAAGACTCCTGAGGACTTCAAGAGGATGGTTTGAGGCTTGATGTCAATTGAGAGAGACCGGAACCTCGAGATATGACTTGCACCAATTCTTTGATTTCTGGAGAGCTTTTTGAAGAGCTTTTGGAGAGCTTTTTGAAGAGCTTTTTGAAGAGCTTTTTGAGAGCTTTTTAGAGAGGAATTTCGTGTCTTTCAAACTTGTATGACTCTATATTTATAGAGGAGAATGAGGATACAAGAAAGAATGGAAATAATCTCCCTCATAATGTTGTGTTTTAAGACCATGATAAAGATTTGAAAAAAATGCCATATTTGATGATTTTATGCCATTTTCACATGTGGATGAACCTGGACATATTTGAAGGGTTATTTCACGAAAGTAATTGACATAAATCAGCATAAAACTTGCCCAAAATGGATTCACATCAAAATTTACATTATTTCTCTTATTTATTTATTTAATTATGAATTTTAATGAATAAAATAGCATAAATAGTAGAAAAATGTATGGGTGGGCTTAGAGGTCGTGGACCATGTTAGGAATGAGTTTCAAACTTGAAAAGATAGGCCCATTTGGAAAAAATCCAAGTTTGGTCAATATTTGCTTCATGCATTTTTTCAAAAATTGTCTAACTTTGACAATGCATATCTCTCTCAATTTTAACCTTATGAGGGTGTTCTTGGACATTTTAGAAAGCTTAGGATGTCCCCTAAGCAAAATATTTGGTTTCATATCAATTGGATCTTCCATGTTCATGTAAGAAGTTTTGACCCAAAAGATGTTTTTGTTGACTTTTCAAAATGACCTATAATGTCCCAATTTATATCTTCTTGTGAGTGCATATTTTGAACTTTGGAGCTGAAGATGAATTGTAGGGAATTACATCCTATTCAAAATGAGCTTTGGATGGGTCATTTTTGATAAAGTATGAGAAAGTTATGCTTGGTCAAAGTTGAGTTGACTTTTCCTACAAAACCCTAATTTAGCAACTTTTGGGTTTTGATGAATTGTGAGAAATCCTTGAGGAATCGTGATCAAACCTTGATCAAATGATGAATAATACTTCAAAATTAGGATGTTGACCAAAAATATTGAAGTTTGACTGTATGTGGGCCACAGTTGACTTTTGCCCAAACACTGTCGACTTTCAGGCCTTTGAGCAATTGATTGAGCAAACTTCCTCTGAAAGGCTTGAAACTTGACATGGATGATATTGAGAACATATTAGGACAATAGTTAGCATTTGGGACCCTTTGGACTCAAACATCTTGATGCAAAATGAAACCCTAATTTGAGGTAGACTGCCTTTAGGAGAGAGTTTGTCTGGTCAACTCTTGGACTTCCTTGGGCAATTTGAAGACCTTACTTGAAATGTATTGAGAAATATGGGAGGGAAAATTTTGGGCTACAACAATATGCAATGTTTTTATGATTTTCTCTAGCTGGGGAAATAAATCTCGGACTGCTGCTGGAGAATATAAAGAGTTATGCTCGTTGGGGATAACGACCGAAGATGATTTGAGAATAAGTTGGTGGGAGAATAACTCTACTGGAGAATAACTGGTGAGAGAATGACTCTGTGGGAAGAGATACTTTGTCAGAAGATCTGCTGATTTAGAGAAATAACTTCGACTGGGGATGAATTACTGTTACTGGCGATAATGGACTCCGTCGGGGATTGAATTTTCGCTTGTGGAAGAAATAAACTCCATTGGGGATAGTCTTCCATTGTTGGTGATGGATGAACTCTGCTTGGGGAGCATTAACATCAATGTTTTCAGATACCTTTTACTCTGTGGGGAGTGTATGCACTTTTAGTCATATTCTTCAGCTGGGTATATCCCTGTACCAGGTGGATAGAGCAACTGTAAGGTTTGGACATTTCTTGTTTGCCCCTGTTCCTGGAATTATGAGTAATTGTCTTTTGTTTCGCATGTAAATATTTATGAGCAACAATTATTTTCAAATTCATATATCATAAATAAATCATTGGACGTTCTTGCAAAACAAAACAGGAAAAGAAAAAACATTTTTTTTGAAATTTATTGTAAAATGAATTGTATTGATTCTGGAAGTTAGCATGTAATATGTGTTTTGTACAAGAGGCTGACGTCCTAGTAAACGCCTCCGAAAGATAGAAATTATACAATTTGTGAAAAAACAAAGGAAAACAGCTATGTGAACAATCCCACTGGGTTCCAACTCTGCTATTGCCTTTATATCTCCGAGCGTCTCATCACTTTGCTACTTAGTTAAAGGTAGATCAGATTGATTGGCATCGTCTGAGCTTGATAGTCGATACCGAAGTCTGGTTGCAAGATGATCCAATGAGACATAGTGTTACGCTTTGATCCCTAATTTTTGCCTGGACCTCCCTTTTGGGTTTTCGGTCCACCGGGATACCCTTTTCTGCCCAAGCCGCCTTTTCAGGTTTTCGACTTGCCGACTGTACAATTTTTTTTCATTTTCATCCCTCATTTTTGCCCGAACCCTTTTGGTTCACCGGTGTAATACCCCAAATTTGTCCTACCCTTTTACTTTTATCTGGCTTACGCATTTTTGCATTTTTCTCACATTAGGTCATCTAACACATCATGCATCATTAATTGATAAATTGCCATAAGATCATGGACTTTGAGGAATAAGGGTTGGTGTATGGCTTTAAGGCTCCCATCTTCGCACAAGCTTGTTTCGGTTGATTTCTCCATTAATAATTTGTTTAAAGCTAGGTTTTCATGTCATGGACCTTATCATCATCAAGCTACGATGCTATTCTTTTCTTCTCAATGTCAAGTTGCAAGGCTTTATGAGATGAAGCTAAAAATCAGGGTCTACACATTTTCGTATTTGAGCTTGTCAGCACTCTACCTGAGGTTCATTCCATATCAAGGTATTCGCATGTCTCATCTTTCATATTTATCTGCAAAGAATTCCTCAGGGCATAGTCATTATCATCTATTGAGAAGGGGTCCAAGACATCGTTGTTCTAGTGCTCATATAATCGGGAGCAGATACAAGGATATTGAAAAGATTAGTGTTGACTAATGAGTCAACTAAAGCTCTTAATCTGGAAGCGTCGATCCCGTCGTCGTTTGTTATCAGAATCGTTCCTCGCTTACCATCTTCCATCTCCAACGTCTTACTGTGCTACTACCTATGCAATTTCGCTACCAGTATTAAAATTCGTCTGCGTGTTTTTTTTATATATTATATTATATACTTATTTTATTAGTAATACCTAATAATCTATCTATACTAAAAATTATTTATGATACCTATATAGTACGAAAGCCAAACTTTTTCAAACCTAGGGTGAACAAGTAAACACCATCAACATTCTACCATATTAAACCTCTCTCCAGAGATACTTCTTATTCAATTACTTCTATCGGTATCAATTTTGTGTTAAGCTTCACTGAGTACACGCCAACTGTTTGATGCTTTGCTTCTGTGAGCATTGTTCACATTTTAGTCTGCAAAAAGCATTATTACAGCTGCTTGTACTCATAATGTTGTCCATGCTTGCAAGAAAGGCCGCTTCCATACACAATCAACGTTTCATAGTGAAGTTGAGTGCATTCAATTTATGCTGCAACTCTCTCACTACCGTTCCCAATAAGGATGATGGTGCTTCTGCCAGAACACTATCCGACCCACCTTCTGAGTATAATTCTAGTAGCAGCCTTCATCTTTCGCCGTTTTTGTCCAACTTCAATCACCCCTCGAGTGGATTTGACATTGAGCTTGTCGACCATGATGCTTGAGGGGTCTCGTCTGTGGTGGCACAAGCCTGGCGACAAGGGGATTTGCCTGCATCAGAAGATATTTCTTGTGGTCAGCATGTCATTGATGAATCCCTTGATTCTCATTCCACGAATGTTGATGGTGAACTTGATTTTGAAGACATAGACAACATGAGAGTTCGTGGCAGTCTGTTCTATAAGCTAGAGCGTAGTTCCATGGAGTTTGAAGAGTATAATCTAGAGTTTCACAAGAAGAAATCATAGAATCAAGAACACACGGAGCTTGAGAGGCTTTTCTTGGATAAGATTATTACTGGAGAACTTGTTTCATCTAATGTTGATGGCTTTGATTGCGGAAACAATGGTAAAAAGTCTTCTTCATCCCTTGATCAAAGACCGGTTTCTGTTAAAGATGATATTCCTGAAAAAACAGAATGGAAATTGTCGTCAGTCCAATAAACAATCCAAAAGGGAAGCAACCAATTCAAGTATCCAAAGAAAGAAAAGGAAAAACATCACTGATGCACTTCAATCCATGCTATAGTTCAACACCGAGATCAAGTTCGGAATAAATGCAAAATGAGTCCGTGCAAAACAAGTTCACGTGCATCAAAATTCAGCCATACAAAACAAGGATAGTAAATCAAAGAACATATATATCATCCACAATCCACCCTATTTTCAAGCGTCAATATTCAATCCAATCTACTAACTAGTTTCTTTTACATAACTATAAACTTCACCAACAGTTTTTTATATGGCTTAACCCAAGTTTCCACCAACCACTAGTTTTTGCTGGTGTTTGCTAACCCCTTTCTCAGTTGGCTCAAATTGATTAACTAACCTGCAAACTAACCAAATCCCCTTAACAAAAATTCTCACAGTTTACAACTACCCATAACTAACTCAACTGATTGGCAACAGAAAATAACATAACAAACTTCTAACTTTTCCCTAACTTCTAACTATAACCAACTTTTTTCCCACCTCCTAACCACCTAACAGAATTTCTAACCTCTTAACCAACCATAACAAACTTTCAGCATATATATAAATAGAGTACACAGCATATGCATAAGGGTGAACAGAATAGATATGATCTTAACACAGAAAAAAAGATTTTATTACCTCTCAACTTGCAGAAGAATCGCACAGAAAACTCCAAGAAACTCTCTCTTCTCCTTTTACTTTATCTTCACCATTCTTCATCTTGGGGAATCGCCAAAAAATCCACAAAGAACTTCAATCTTCCCCTCTATCTGCAATCTTCACGTAGCTTCATCATCATCAATTCTTCAATCATTGAGAAGCATCACAAAAAACTCAGAGCTACAAAATCTCTCGTTTTCTCTGATTCATTCTGCAAACCTCCACAAATTCTGAAGAACCATCATTGCAATCAATCATCAATCCACAAACTTAATCTTTCATCAAACTTCAATATGCATCACAGAAAACATATGTCAACACCACTTCTAGAATTACTTCAACAATGCATCATAATTTGTGATTCTCGGTAACAACTAAAAGCGCAGCACAACCGAAAACACAGAGCATCCAATTCACAGGAAGAAGATCAGATTAAAGAATTAACCTCTGGTTTTCTTACAAACGTCACCGTTGAAATACAGTCGGAGCAGCTCCGACAGTTGCTGACAAGTAGAAACGTGGTAAGAAGCTATAGATACGGCGGCGTTGTTTCAATTGAAGTAGGGAGAAGAGAAAGATAAAAGCTTGATTGAGTACCGAATGGCCCGAGTTCGGAGACAGAGGCGTTCAGATGACGATGAGATAGAAGACGACATGGAAAGCTAAGATGGAGGGATGGGTCTTTTCCGGCGATAATGGTTATGAAGCGGCGAAGAAGAGAAGGGATGGAGGCTGCCGCTTGCAAGAAAGGGAGAAGATACTTTTCTTCTAACCCTAAAAATCCCTTTCCAACTTCATATTTTTTTATTTAATTTAATCGTTTTATTATTTTATATTTTTATTTGATAATAATATGCTGAAACAATATAATTGTTTTATTATTTTATATTTATTTAATAATAATAATAATATGCTGAAACAATATAATTGTTTTATTATTTTATATTTTCTATAATAATAATAATAATATGCTGAAAATAATATAAAAAATATGGGTTTTTGTTGTAAGAGGAATTAGTGATGGAATGGGCCAAACTAGTCAATTCTTGGATCATGATTATTTTTATTTTCTTGCTGATTGTGTCCATTTTTGATGGGGCCTAATGTCATTGCTTTTTTTTGCAGCACATAGTGAATTTAGTTCGCACCTCCTGAGATCTTATTTCCCATACTCATTTCGATTGCGGTTAATTTTGGCGATTTATTTTCTTTGGCAATATTGGTAAATAAAAGAGATTTCTTTTCAATTCTCTCACTTTTCCTTTTCAATTTTAATCATTAGTTTTACTCATTTTTATGTCATGTGTTTCGCTCGCAATTTTTATGGATTGTATGCGATATCCTGATACTTGCTGCCTAATTTTACTTATTCGTATATTATTTCATGATTCTTTAGGAGATTTTGGTTCAAATTTAATCTTCGATTTAATTGAACTAAAAGTAGACATTCACTACAAGAAAATTGGCAGATTGCGACAGGTATTTTTGTAGATCACGACGGTTAAAACCGTCGCAATTTGCTTTCCACGACGGTTGCTTTACCGTCGCAGAAGTGTGTGTCCCCAACCTATTTCGCGACGGTTACAAAAACTGTCGTTCAAGTTTACGACGGGTTGATACCGTCGTGACTATCTTTTGAGTTTCTTTTAATTATTGATGGCGACGGTTCGATACTGTCGTGAATATCTTTTGAAATTGATTAAATTGTTTATGGCGACGGTTCGATACCGTCATGACTTTTGTTGATTACGACGGTTTGGTACTGTCGCCATGACTTTTGTTTATGTCTTGATTTTTTTTTTCTATTATCTATATTTTTTATTTAAATTATTATCTATGTAAAAAATTTTAAATATAGTTTTTTTTTGTGTTATTTTTTTCTTTAAATTATTTCTTCTTTAATATATTTATTTATAGTATTATTTTTTGTTTTATTTTCTATCACTTTGTAATATAGTAAAAATAATTTCAATAAAAAATATTTAACATCAAATAAGCATTATAATATCCAAAAAAATGTGTGTTCCATAATCATGTAAAATGCGAGTTCCATAATCATGTCAAGTAGTACAAAAAACCCAAAATATATCAATTCCTAATCTTATAATAATAAGTATCATTATGCCAAAAATACATGAGAAAGTTCACAATCTAATTATCTCGATCATAGCAAAGTCTAATTTGTCCCCCCTGAAGTTCCATTATCTCCAATACGGTAGCTAGACTCAGATGAACGTCTACCATCAGCGGGTGATTCCAATCCCTAAAAAAAGGTATTAAAATAATAATCTTTAAAATAATACTCATAAAATTTAACTTTAAATGCGTCAAAATAATATACCTGTCTTCCACTAAAATTCTGCATTTGCATTAAGAGTTCATTTTCCTTTGTCCTCGCCTTGTCCCTTTGCATTAAGAATATGATTGCCTGTGTTAATTCATCAATTTTTGAATTCTTTTCTTTAAGTGCATTAATTTCTTCTTGCATTTCCTTTATTTGTTCACTTTCTGCAGAAGAAGATGTCGATCTCGTAGATCTATTAATTTGAGATGGTGTAACTCCAAGTCCCATACTACGAACATATCCATGCTTTTCTTTTCCAAATACTTTCTGAAATGCCTCATTTTCAGACACAGAATCCTTAATTGCAGCTTGTAATTTTTTCTGCACATGAAAAAGAAAAAATTGAGCTATTGTTTATATAACAAGAATAATATATTGGGGGAGAACCTCTTGATCAAATCATGGACTTCCATATATACGTAAAAAGAAGTTGGCACAAACTAGGAGGTGGCACAAACTATTGCAAATGTGACATGGAGAATTGTTTACAAGAAGTTCAGTAAAGCTTGCTATCCACCATTCTTCAGTATAAACAAAATCACTCTAGGATATTTATTCTGAAATTTCCCACTAAAGTTACCCCACAGTTTTCAATGTTTCAAATATATGTCAAATGCAGCATAGGTGATTTTTCCATTACAACTTACGCTTCTAATCTATGCAGGTATGATGCCTCTTATTTCCTGTGTTCTACTGGTTGGTCTCTTTATTTTGCAACACCGTGGCTCCCACGCGATTGCTTTCATGTTTCCTCCCATAATCATCCTATGGTTACTATCTATTTTCACGATTGGCATTTACAATGTCATCAAGTGGAATCCAAGCATATATCGGGCTCTTTCTCCATATTATATATATAAATTCCAGTGGTGAGTTTTATTTGGGATGGTTCTATTACTATTACCGTTTTGGTGTTTTGTTTAATTGGATGTGAAATTTACATACCTGTAAAGTGAAGCTTGTGACTATAATTGCCACAGCAAGAGAACCTGTCTCAATGAGGTTGAAGTTTAGGTCCATATTCACTCCCATTCCACAAGCAACAGTAACACAGAGGGGAACCTGAATTTTAATATTATATATGTGTCATTATAATTCAAATAAAGACAACTATCCGAATATGTTTTAAATTGTAGTCTGCAACAACAATTGTAGCCGCAATATAAAGGACTGTGAGGATTCTGCAACGGTATCTCAGCTGCACTTCTCATAATATAAAGAGACATGCAGCGTAATCGTAAATGCAATTTAAAATCAAATTATCCATAAAGGTAAGAGTATATTTATTTACCACAAACATGGCAATTTGAGTAGCAGAGCCCAATGCAACACCTAAGGAAATGTCATGCAGTCATGAAATTAGTTCAGCTTCACTTGAATATTGTTTTTTCCTTTCAATTCATCAACTTTATAGCTTGGAAAATATGAATTTAATCATATGTTAAATGAAAGGATTAAGTATGGAATTGAGTAACACTATAATATAAATTCTTACAAGCTTGTTCTTGAAAGCAAAAATGATTGCTCCAGCATGTTCAGCTGCATTGCCAACTACTGGAAGCAAGATTATGCTGAGGAAGCTCACTGATAAACCCCATGAATCTGATGCATCCTGTTAACAATAGTTTATGACACGCCTATAAGTTGTTTTAAGCTTATTTTAGTAAAAACTCTCTATAAGCTTAGCAAAACGATTTATAACTAATATAAAAACAGTTTAAACACATTTCATATTTGATTATAGGACCTTGTTTGGTAAACAGTTTAACTACACATTTAAAGCATAAATGCTTATCATATAAGTGTTTATGTATAAGTTACTTCTACAACAAAAGATAAAATAGCCAAAAAAAATCCGTATAAGCTATAAACTGTTTTTATAAAAGCTATCATGAAGAACTTAGAAAAATAAGCTGAAAACAGCATGTGGACATATTGTAAGCTCTACCAAACAGCCTTACAATAAGTCAATCCAAACCTGCTCCTGACTTATGCATAACTGATTATGTGATACGCTCATTAAATAAGTGCTTAATTGAGCTGTTTATTCAAAAGAATTCCAAATTAGATCTAAGCAATTAAATTGAAATACCTCAATTGTATCGACCACGTATTCAGACAACAACGCAGTGAACACGGTCATTCCAGCCAACCAAGCAAATCCACTCCAAAATCCAATCACAGCCTCTTCTGCCTCAATGTTCTCATCTCCGCCTTCCTGCTCAATTCTTTTTAATAAACTATAATTGCAACAATCAACAATTCAACATTTTCATATATGGTTCAGTTAAGAAAACATACATCTTCAGCTTCAAATAGTTGCCTATGTGTCCATAGTTGAAAGATCAAGTAAACAAAATATGCAGCCAACATGACAATGCTAGCAGCTCTTGACAAGTAGAGTGAAGATTCTACGGTGAGTTCCGGTGATGCAGCACTGTATGTAAATAGCATTGGAAGCAAAAGACATAGCAATGCCAGTATCAGCATCAGTGAGTTCACATCTGCTTGCCTCTGCAAAATTCAATACTTAACATTAGCATTAACTGAAGTTCGACTAGAAGATAAGTAAAGTCAAATTCAAAATTGCCAAGATCGAGTTATAGGAAACAATACTAGGCAAACCACCATCTGATATCATGTTATTTAAATACTCTATAGCCAAATTTACTTTTCCTTCTTTACAAATAGCAGAAATCAATGGATTGTAACAATAAGCATTAGGAGCCAACCCTCTCTTCTTCATACCCTTCAACACATTCTCAGCCTCGACAATTTTACCATCACGACAAAGTGAACAAATCAATATGTTGTATGTCACACAACTCGGCTCACAACCTTTATGCCAAAAGAAGTTTTCTACTTTTAAAAGATGGAATCTCTTTGATGTTTTCCTTGGCCTAAAATGTAAAAATTAAAACAAGGTGATATAGACTTATAGTGATAATTTCCTATAGTCTCAAAATAGAGATAAACAACAATGAAAGGTGTGGAGGAGACAGTTAAGCAATCTGAAAAGTCAACCTACCAACTTATACTTCTGCAAAGCATCATCGAACTTTCCTTAAAATCCATACAAAATTAAAAAGCATCAACAAAATTTTATAACAATATTACCCGAGCAACATCCAAAGTGTCAAAACAACCAAAATCTTCATTGTAACAACATTTTGCCCATTCATCGATCAACCATCACAACTCACAACCGGAAGTTTGTAATCTTCGACAACACTACACTTGTTCATATGCAAAGTACTTCATCTTCCAACAATAAGAGGATTTTTGTTCTTGTAAATGTAATAGCTCATACACAATTTCTCTAAAGTTGCAACAGAATGCTGCATAGGATTTAGCTTTATATCCATCATCATTCTCTGCCATAATAACAACAAAACATTAAACAGCCTCCTAACAGCAACATTTTCACTTTACATTGTTAATATATCTTCAATTGAAATTAACATGACAACAGATCAAACCTGAAAATCAGCTCCATATTTCTCAACTAGCCGACTAATATAAAGACGCTGAATCGAAGTCAAAGGTTGAGGAAGTGCACTTTTATAAAATTCCAAGTGCCGATTAGATAGTAGCATCCAATATTTACGTATGCCACAAATACTTGCCATCACATGATGCAATTAATCTTCAAAAGTTAATCTACTTCCGGGTTCACGAACTCATTCACTCCAAACTTCTTAGCTGTGAACAAGATTGATTATTACTAAAGTTAGTCCTTGAATTTATGTTGTTGACCAAAATCTTAAATCATTAGATGGAACACAGAAAGTGTTGTACCTAATTCAAATGGGCTGGAAACTAAATCAACTCCAATGATTCTTGATGCACCAGAGATCCTTGCACCTTCAGCAGCCTACATTATGGTTAAAAAAGAAGAGCAAAAATTAATATTGTCTCATTTCATTTCCAATCATAGCTGCAATGCAACACACACATGCAGACAAAGATATAAGAGTAATAACATACAGCAAGGCCAACAACTCCAAGCCCAAAGATAGCAACTGAAGAACCTGGCTTTGGTTTTGCAACATTCACAGTAGCACCAAGACCTATAAGCATCAATGCAAATTGAATTAGGAAATCACAGACCAAGCCTGGTAATATATAAATATCTGAAGCTAGGGATCTTGTATATATATACCTGTGCATATTTCACAACTGAGAATACAAACTTTGTCAAGTGGTGCTTCAGGATTGATCTTTGCAACACATCCAGCATGAACCACTGTGTACTCACTGAATGTAGAGGTGCCCACGAAATGGTTTATGGGCTCTCCATTGATAGAGAATCTAGACTTGTTATCATTGAGCATGACACCTCTGTCAGTGTTGATCCTAAGAAGATCACACATGTTGCTCTCCTCTGACTTACAATGTGGACATTCACCACACTCCCCTGTGAATACAGGCAGGGCTTTATCCCCTGGTTTCAGATGAGTCACACCTTCACCTACGCTCTCCACGATCCTGATAAACATCATTCATTCACATTACATACTAAATTACTGATACACTAAATAATCAAGACATTTTATCAGAAGAGAAGCATATACCCTCCAGCTTCATGACCAAAAATACGAGGAAACAATGGAGTCTGACCCTGAAACAGTGGCAAAAAAGAGAAAACCATGTTAAGCTATTGCGATTCATAACAACATACAGAAACAAAACACACTATTTTCTTAACTGTACGACCAACTTCAGAACCATCAGATTCATCCAGCTGCAGCTGATTGTGTTCGACCACAGTGTTATCCCATTGCTTTCTGTAGTGATTGTCCATGTAGAAGTTTCTTAGCATCTCGGCGGAAATATCATTGAACACAGTCATACTCCAATATTTCAGGGGACCATTCTGCAACATCCAAGGACAACAAGTTCTTCAGCGGGTGTCTAGTTAAAGTATTAGTTTTTCATGTCTTAGATAGTTGAAAAGAAGCAGGAAAGGTATGAGCGATAGTGAGTGGAGAGTTTAACCTTAGGTTTGGTGGATTTAGCTTTGTAGCATAGATGATGATTTGTTTTATCTATGACATCCTCCCATTTATGGTTCTGATTTAGAATTTCATCCATTAAAAACTTCAAATCAGCATCAGTGGCAGTGTTTGAGGTTCTGCAATTGTAAACCCTAAAAAGCCCCAATTTCAGTAAAGCGTATGAAATTGAACGAAAATAAAATGAATAAAGTAGAGTAGTAGACCTTGGGTTTAAATTGCTAGAATCGGAGATCAAAGAGGACGCCAACAGGGATCTGCTCTTATGGTTCAGAAGAAACAATAAAGTAACAACAATAACAAGAAGAAGAAGAATAGCGCAGCCACCATAGAAGTTGCTCAAATTTAAAGGGAAGCCATCGAAGCTTCTTAAGGTTCTCATCGAATTGATGTGGTTTAAGTTTGTACAGAGAAAAAGCAAAAGTATGAAGAAATTTGGAGAAAGATACGTGAACAATAAATAAAAAGAGAAATAAACGAAGCGGGGTAAAGGATTTAGGGGGACGACGGGTGTGGTTACCGTCGTGCCTTTTCATAACTTTTGCATGTTTTTTAAAGGTTTAGGGGGGCGACGGTTGTTTTACCGTCGTGATGTCTATTTTAGGACGGTTTCTTAACCGTCGCAACATTCATTTTAGGGCGGTAGGTGTATACCGTCGTGACATGGGTCCCTATATTAGAATTATGACGGTTATTAAGTAACTGTCGCAATTTTTGTGTCGTAAAATCCTAATTTTCTTGTAGTGATTAGGCTTTCAAACTCATGCATACTAATATCAGGTAGAAATTTCCCCTTTAACCTAAATCTTATGGCTACTAACGCATAATAACATTAGGTTTAGAAATAGGCTAATTCCCCTTTAACTTTTCTTTCCCTTTTGCATTCGCACCTAAAACTAAAACTTTCTCTTTCAAAATTCAAATACTTTAAAACTATTGATGAGAATCATACTTTTGCTTAGTACGGGAAATGATAAGCGAGTCTCTTCTCGATCTTATTGTTCTTCATCTCAAGCATAGGTGTGGTTCAATTCTCAAAGACTCCTTTCACGGCTAAGTAGAAGAATGGCTAATATCTCTCTCTTGAGGTCAATCAGTCATCATCTACAACAAAAATACAAAACAAACTCAAATCTTTTGTGCGCTCGAGCACCTTTTCTTTTAAACCCTTTCAGGTAAGGACATGATTAATTTACTTCTGTGCCAACGCATAAGCCTCCAAAGGTCGAGCTGCGGTAGAAGGCGGAATTAACTTCGTCCATAAAAAACACAAAACAAACAAAAAAATGTGAGCCGAACTACGGTAGCTCTGATTTCTCAAAAAGGATACGTAGGCATTGGGGGTAGGGCCCAAGCGAGCACAATTTTATTTTCCCTACATTCTTTTCTCTTTTCTTTTGCATGCATTTCCTCCAGTAGTATAATAGACAGTAAGCATAGATTAAACACACCCATAAGATAGATAACAAGAGTGGATACCGTAGAGTACTACGGGCGTGTGGGGTGCTAATACCTTCCCCTCGCGTAACAGACTCCCTTACCCGATCTCTCGGTCGCAAGACCGTGACTTCTCCCTCATCAGGTTTTCTCGATGTTTACCTTTCCCTACATGTGGGATAAAAGACGTTCGATGGCGACTTCATTGTTTGATGATTTTCAGCCGGTTGTTTCAGCTGGCGACTTCACTGGGGAATAGGTCGACCAAGTGCTGGTCCATCCCGGAGTCGCTCCTAGCTCTTCTTTTCTTTTCTTTGGGTGTTTATCTTCACGCTTTCGGTTTATTCATTCATTTTGTATATACTCAAGCATACATATGCATTGTATTTACTGTCTTCCATATACTACTGCTGTCCAGGATCTACTTCTTATTGGGTTGGGATGTTACTTTTGAGGTAAAAGGCCCAGTACCCAGGCCAGAGTGCACTAGGACATCTAGGAATAGAGTGGGGGCATGACGGCTATAGGACGTGGTCCGATTAGTGCAGTCATGTCACATACCACGCTCGGATGAGGTTCAAATGAATTACTATCGGCACCCACGTCTGTGGGTAAGCCCATAGCACTTTCAGGCGGACCCGTGATTTTCGAGTTACCATTATCTTACCCTGACCTAGTTTCACCCGTGAGTGGGGAGGGAATTTCTATCTCAGGTACAGATGGTGACTCATATTCAGATGGTTACTCATATTCAAATGATGATTATGCTCAAACAGTGACTATCGGTTCTATTGGATATGCTCTGAAACTCTGTCAATGATTAGGAGGTTCTCAGATTTATTTTCTGAGTCCCGAATCTGTTCATAAGATTGTATGGTTTTTGTTCCGGACCTATGATCCTGGTACTTACAAGCTACGTAGAGACAATACAACAGATATTGGTATCATGGAAGTAGTAACAGCATGATCATTTTGCATTTACATCTAACATGTTTATTTCAAAAAAAAATTGTCAGAAAGATGAAATTATCAACCTTGCATATGCATGTCCACTTTGGATACCTCTCTGGCATAATTTTCGCCAATAACATTTGGCAACGGTGATGTTCTCAAGAAAACCAAAGGAGACAATCATACTTATTTGTACTATTCAAAGTTTTCCGCTCAAGTTCTTGGCCTTCTTTGAAGAATCTAGAGGACCATTTTCGTCATTTCAACCATATTTCAGTCTTACAGCTACAAGTTACACATTCTAGGACTACCAAATTGTTCCAATTCCGGAAGGACAATCCTCTTTGCCGAACACCTACCTGTCGCCAAGTCCGGATAGGCACAATCTTGAAATTATCACTAAGGCACTTTATTTGAGCCTAAGCGACATGAAAAATAACCTACCCCCGAACTAATCATTATTGTTACCAATTGCTCACACTCCCATAACCTTCTTATATTCAGTTCTGTGGGAATTTCTCTTATTTTTGGATGTCTTCTTCATGTGGCCATTCTTATCATCATGTTGCTCGATTACTATTAACGGTAGTTGAACCATGGAGAACCAGAGTGGACAATCATTTCATACATCATACATATCATGCATTTCATAAATTGCAGGTTTGCTGGCAGGAGTTCTTATCTGATGATTTTGCCTTTTATTATAGAATCTACAAGATGACTTCCATACATCCTTATCGCACTCGAGCCAACAAGTTGAGGATCATGGAACAAATTAA